TGTTTTAAGAAGGGTTACATCTTCCCTAGGACTGCTACCTCTTGTTACCTCCCCTCCTCCTCCTCTCCCTTATCTTTCTCTCACTCTTCAATCCCCCCTCCTTTTCAAGTACTCATGTCCTAGCCCCTACCTGCCTCCAAATAAAACTATACCCATTTTCCCCTTTGATTTATCCCTTCATAGGTCTTACAAACTTAGGCTTTTGCAAGCATCAGTAAATACATTGCTACAGGAACGAGGCAGATGACAGAAATGAGGGAAGCAAGGTGCCAGATGTGAGACAAAAGGGAAGAGTGGAGACTGTGGCAAACCACAGGCAAGAGACACTGTGTAGAGTACAACTGCAGCACAGCCCTAACTGACTGTTGCAGTATCAAGTAGCTTTTGCTAAATAACCAACCACCCCACAATGTAGTGACTTAAAACCATCAGCCAAGCTCCAGGGCACCCTTGGTGACAGCAGATGGTCAGTGTAGGCATGTCCTGCCGGGTAATCCCACCCCTGCAGCTTCTGAGGGGGCTCCCAACTGCTCTGCCTATTCTTAGCCTCATGGCTGATCTTTTCTGGACATTTGGTCTGAAGATTTCTGCTTAGGAAGAAGAGCAAGAGGCCCGGGTGCTATCAGGGAGGGGCCAGAGAATGGTCCTGAGCAGCATCTGTGAGTTGTCTTGGAGGAAGCATACTAGGACAGTTGAGGTTTAAAACCCTTCTGGGGGGCCAAGCCCGTGGCTCACTTGGGAGAGTGCGGCACTGGGAGCGCAGCAATGCTCCCGCCGCAGGTTTGGATCCTATATAGGAATGGCCGGTGTGCTCACTGGCTGAGCGTGGTGTGGGTGACANTAAGGTAAATTTCCAGAAGTGGAATTGCTAGGTCAAAGGAAATTAATAATTTTGATAAATATTGTAAAATTTCCCAATTTATATTCCCATCAGCAACATATTAGGGTATCTGTTTCCCCACAGCCTTGCCAGCAAAGGTTAGAATACTTCTCAAACTTTAGAATATTTGCCATTGGGATAGGTGAAGAATAGTGTCTCAATATGGTTTTATTTTGCATTTATCTTATTATTTAAGTTGATTATCTTTTGGTATATTTAAGAGTCATTTGTATGCCTTTTCCAATGAATTATTCTTCTTTCCTGTTTTAAGAAGGGTTACATCTTCCCTAGGACTGCTACCTCTTGTTACCTCCCCTCCTCCT